GAGCATTCAAATTCAAAAGCAGTGCTTTGTGGGAAATGGAGACAGTCACTGGCTTCTGGTAAATGATTCAAGAAAGTTCAACATGATAGCACCATCTCTCAAAGCCTTCACACAGCTGAGCTTTAGGTAACATAAAGAGTCCCCGTCTGTCACCTCCCAAAAGAAGAATGGCTTATTCTCCTACTGGGACTAAATTGAAAGATGGGGCTGATCTATCATATTTAGCAGCACACTTCAAATGCATAGAAGCTTCTGTGGTGCTGATTAAAAGGAGAAAATATCATCTGGCTAGCAAAGATGATCTGTAACTAAAACAAAAGTGTTCGCACCCTTGACTAAACATTTACTGTCAACAATCTGTCTTCTGTGTGTGCCCAGAAAAGCAACACTTACACACACACACACACACACACACACACACACACACAACACACAGAGTTTCTCTCTCTCTCTTCACAGTAAATTTGCTCTCAGGAACAATTACCCAGGCATAATTTTTCTTTCCCTTTTAAGTTAAATGCTTTATGCATGTATATCAGGATTAAATATGTCCCCTCCCCTCTAAAGGAGGTCCACAGGCCTCTTGTGAGGGTTTACAAAAGAAGAGAAAAAGAATTATTTTCTTCATTTCTTAGCTCTTATTATGATCAATGTACTGTTCATTATTTCCACAAATAGGTTTCATTGGTTCCAAATTGATCATCTAGGATCTCTACCCTGAGCCCCAATTTGGTGAAAGACAAGGCCTGGTTTTCCTAGCATATGTGCAATGTCCTCGCTGAAGATAAGGAATCTCTCTGCACTTGATCTTCAAAGACTTAGAACAAGTTCATCTCTACAGAGCACAGCTTCTCTTTCTTGGACTTTAAGTCTCATTTAAGTGAGATCCAAGTGACCTAAAAGATCTTTTTCTTCTTTGTGACAATATAAATAAAATATCTCTTTGAACAATAGATAAAACATTTTTGTTCTAATCATAAGCTGTCAATACCTCCAAAGGGAAAAATTCCAATCTAAAATATTTTAGTTATATTTTTACTATTTAAGAAATTTTTATAACATATATTGCTTAAATCTCTATATTATTGAAATGTCTTAAATTTCTATCAGTTTAAATCTCCATATTGTAGAAGTGTTTTCCTTGTGAAATAAATTCAGGAACAGAAAAGATCAAGATTAACCAATTCTAAGAATATTGTTCTAATTTTCTTATTTTCCAATGACTTAAGACAATGTTGTGAAATTCATTAATTCCTGTCAATATAAACCATTTCTATGTAAAGTGCAGATAATATTTATTACAGGTAAAAGATAAAGCTATATGTATATTATACTTAATATCAATAACTTCTTAATTAGGAGTTTGCTACTCTGTAAACTTCTGTTTCATATACCATCTAAAATTTCTCATTTTATAAAAAATAAATTGTACCATCTGATTTGTTTTTGCTTCTCAGAAAGAAAGACTTTTATCCATGTAATTTGTTATATATTGTCCCAGCACGGTAAAACCGTACCCACAATTGTTTAATGAAACTTTCTGAACATAAGCCACAAACCCTATGTACTGGTCACATTGTGATAAGATGTATATAAGAACAAAATCAGACTATCCCTCCAAGCCCTATATTTGAATTGAGAAAAGCTCCCATTGGAACAGTGGAGACAGTCTGAAGCCTCACATCCAAAGAAGAGGGAGGTTTGGAAGCAATCCCAAAGGAAAAAGATAAACATATTCAATTATTGGGAAGTGGATCAGATGGGGAAAGCAACTGCTCTTGTTTAATTTTGAAAAAAAGGGTTTGTTCACACATGGTTCCCCAGCATATGAAGTGCATTTATAAAGGGGAAGATAATTAGCGAATTTTTTTCTCTCTCAGACTCTCTCTGTATTGAGAAGCACACACAAAAGGAACTATTCATAGAAAATAATTGTATAAAAATGGTTTTAAAATGTTTTGGCCAGAGACTGAGTCAGGTTAGATGTTTCTTGAAGAAAAGTGGGAGGCAGAGCTGGCCCTATGAAAAATTGTCAAATTTGAGGTTGAATTTTGTTCTTGGACTTTCTATGCCTCCTTACCAATTCAAAAACACCATGATCTCATTCTGCAAAGCACCAAAGACGTGTCATTTTTTCCCTTCCCCATCAAATCTATCTCACAAAAGATTTGATAAAGTCATTCATATAATGGTATGAAGCTTTGATTATTAACACCATAAACACTAAATAGTTAACAAAATTCAACATAATAAATATTTTTTGGAGCTCCTGGTAAGTACCAGCCTTTATTTGTTGCTATGATCCAACATCTTTGGAACTAATAAGTATGATTTTTAGAGGAAAGCATAGCTACCTTTGAAGAAAGGGAAGAAAGCCTTAAGTCAAAGGAATGTAAACTTGGTTGGTGTGTTTGTGTACATATTATGTGTTACATAAGTTGTGTGTGTGTGTGTGTGTGCGTGTGTGTGTGTATATGTACATGATAAAGTTACTAATACTACACATTTGTTTCCTTAGCTATAAAAGGAGTATTCTTAACCTCATGTGACATAGCAATTGTATTGTTGTTACTGTTATTCTTATTTTTACACCATCTTCTGGGTTCAAAAGCACTTGGAAAGAATCTGAAATGATTTCTACCCAAAAGGCCAAAACTGGGGAAGGGATGCAAACATAGGTTAACTTTCTGTAACAGACAAGGTAGGAATATAACAATAAATATAATAATAACATTAATAATAAATAGCATTTGTAAGTTTCAGGCACTATGCTACATGCTTAACATTGTTTCCTTTAATCCTCACAAGATTTTGGGAAGGGAACATTATCATTTCTTTTCTAGAGTTGAGGTAACTGAGGCTCAGCAACATCAATTAACTTCCCCAGGTCACAGAGTTACTAAGTGATGGGGCTGGGATTGAGCCCAAACTATTTGGCTGTATAGTACCTACCTACTTAAGTATGTACTTTCCTTATCCTAGATCTCCTGCATTGCTCTGTGCCCTCTGTTCTTATAAATTTTGGATGTGATTTATATATTTGGGTTAAAATAGATGTACTTTCTGAGCCTTGGGCTTTGAATACTGTATACAAGCTTAATTAAAATAATTTATCTTTATTTTATTCATGTTGCCTCTTTGAATATTTAGACTTTTTACTAATTATTTTTGAAACAACATTAAAGTTAGAGAAAAACAGTATGTGCAGTTTTATTTTCCTGGACCAATTTAAAAGTTTGTTTCTGACCTGATGTCTAATCATCCCCAAATATTTCAGTAGATGTTTCCCTAAGTAAGAATATATACACTCCTATATATAATCACAATAAACGATCCAAATCAAGAAACTTTCACATTGATACATTCTTAACAACTAATTGGAATTTTGTAAAACATCTCAATAATGTCTTCTACAGAAGAATTTAGTCCAGAACCTCACGTTTGGTTCAGCTGTTATGCCTCTGAGAACTTTGCTTAGTCTTTCCTGGACTTTCACAGTTTTGACAATTTTGAACATTGCAGGTGGTTCATTGTTTTACAGAATACCTTCACTTTGGGTTCATTCAACGTTTCATCATGATTAGATTCAGATTCTTTGGCAGGAACATCACAGAAGTGATGCTGTATTCTCAATTCATCCTATCAATTTTTATTTGTCCCATTTCTGCAGGTGCTATATCACTTGATTTAAAGTGTCTGCCCAGCTTTGCCAGTGGGAAGCTACTCTTTTTCCCTTTGAATAAGAATTGTGTGTGAATTTTGAAACTCTACAAATATCTCCATTAAGCTCTTACTTTATTTCAGTATGGACTCATTGGTTTGGATCAACTTTATTTCATTACTATAATTACTTATTTTGGTGCTTTTAACTTGCTATAGATTCGGCCCATGGGAGCCCTTTCTCTGGTTTTTAGGTCCTACTGACATGTCTCCATCCTACTGTAAAAACAC